AGCCTGGGTCCCAGGGGGTTCCAGCAGCCTCAGGCTCACCCCCCAGCCCTGCAGCAGCATCTCTCCAGAGCACCAAACCCCAGGAATTTGAGCTGAAATTTCTCTGTAGCTTCATCTGGCAGCTCTGCAAAGCCCCAAGGTGCTGCTGGGGCTGACGGGTATTCCCAGCAGTCCCACTCCTCCTTGCAGGAGCTAAAATAACCAGAGTTTTAAGACCTATTCTGGCCTTTTTCTGCTTTTTTCCTCCAGAGTCTCCTCCATCCCTCTGCCCAGCCAAGCGGAGCTGGGGTTTGCCCTGGCTGGCTTTGTGTCCCCACACCAATGTCCTCGAGGGGACAGTGGTGATGACAGCAGCGCTGGGAACTCCGCCTGCCTTGGTTTTCCAGGCTGCTTCCCAGGCAAAGTGCCCACAGCCTGCTGGGACCATCCTCCCTGCCAGTCTTCCCTTTGGAAAGGAAATTTAGCTTCTTTGCCAAGAAAAAAAAAATAAATATATATACACACACATACATCAGCTGCTCTCTGCAAGCCTGAGTGCCTCTGCCACTTGCTGCTTCCTCCCAAAAACTGGGAAACCCCCATCAGCCACTTCTGCAGGAACTCCTTGTACCTCCCAGTTTTGGTTCCTTGTCCCCAGCCTGGGGGTCCCCAGGGGCTCTTCTGTCACCCCACGGGCTCCCTGTGCCAAGCCATCCTCCGTGAGCTGGACCAGTGGGGACAGCAATGCGGTCCCCTGCCACGTCCCCTCGCCCAGGTAGCCCAGGCTGCCTGAGGGCTGCAGGGGAGCTGCTGCTTGGGGACGCAAAGGCACAAACCCTCTGGCTGCTCACAGACCCAAGGGACCTTCCCATCGCCCAAGTCACTGGGTAAAACCACAGCATCGAGGTACACGGTCCCTCCCTTGCAGACAAAACACTCCAGATGCAGCAAACAGCCTTAAAATCTCTGCTTTTTTTTTCCCCCTCCCCAAATTAAATTTTCATTTAAATGATATGATTTGGAGCTCTTCAACTCAATTTTTTTCCAAGCCTGGGGCGAGCTGTAGCACCAGCATTTCCACAGTCACTGACAGTTTGACACCAACAGCAACAAAGCAGCTCGTTCTCCAAATCTCCAGTTTGATCTAAATTAAAAGCAGCAAAAGACTTTGGCATTAACCGACCTGTCAAAACGCATTAAAAAAATAAATGCCTCCCAGGCTCGCCCGGCACCGGCTCCCTACCTGCACCGCACACCCTTTGATTACCTGCCATGCAAAACCCCAGTGACAAACGTGTCCCCAAGGAGGGCTCTCCGTCCCCAACGCAGCCACCCTCCTCTTGCAGGGTAATTTCCCTGTGATAACCCCGAATTTAGCCCTTTCCAGAAGATTTATTTATATTTAAATCAAGCTGGAGCTTCTCAGCCATATGATTCCCCAATAAAGTACAGAACACCAGATTCATTCTGGTTCTCCTGGGCTGCCTCCTGCTCCGTGCCAGCTCCTCACCGAGGGGCTGTAAGGGATGGCAGCAGATCCGACCCCTCACCAGGCACCGGCAAGGCTCCCCCCTCACTCCTGAACACCCACCAACCTGCAGGAAAACTGCCTTCAGGGATGCTGGGTGCCAGAGCTGTCACCACCCATCTCTCCAAAGCATTAAGAGCTTTGGAAATGAAGGGTGGGGAAAAAAAAAAAACAAAACCAAAAACACACAAACCCCAAAAAACATCCATCAATTGCATCTCTTGAGCCCTGTGTTTTTTGCAGCCTGTTTAAGGGGGAACATTTTTATTTTGCTGACTGGGTGTGCTCTTGAGCGCGGGATGCTCCAGCTGAGATTGATCCTCCAAGAGAGGAAACCTGGACTTTCCCTCTCCCCCTTTGCTAAGCTGTTTTCTCCTTTGGGGATTTCGTGCTCCCTCTGCTCTGAAGGCAGGATTAGGGATTTACATACAGGTGTGACACCAGCTGGGGCTGCAGGGGCTCAGCCCTCCCCCAGCCCCACACCTCCCCAGTGCTCCCAGTCCCACCAGCCCCTTGTGCACTGGGAGGGGGG